CAGAATAGAAGCTAGAATAGTAGCCAGAATAGTAGCCAGAATAGTAGCCCTTAAGATTATAGAAGAAGAAAAAAATAACAAATCCTGTCAGCTACATGTCTGTACAAGCTAAGTTTATTCTCTCGTTTCAAGTCTAAACATTGATGCCATTTCACTAAATACGTGTATCATCAAATGCCATTGATGCCATTTCACTAACTACGTGAGTCAACTACTAATGTTATTTCACCAAATACTTAAAACGTTATATAGGGAGTAATATGTGGTAATAAATTTCACTTACCGTTACAATAGTCATTTGTTGACTGCGATGCTGTTTGTGCACTTCTTTCTGGGATCCCTACACCTAATACCACCACCATAATCGAGATACACCACATATTTGCAAACATTTTTCTATTTTATATGTGTCATGTGTTTATAAAATATGCACCTGTTTCTTCATCAAATGAAAATGTCTGGTAATTGTATTATTTTTGGGGGGTTGGTCTTTTTTTCTTCTATTTTATCAGATTTTATTTTTTAAACGGAAACAACGCAAAAAATGTAAAATCCTGACCATGGTTTCATTGTGTTGACTATTGTCTGCAAAATTAAAGAGAAACGAATTTGAAAATTGGTCAATTAATAGTTTTAATCAAAGCTTTAAATAAAATTGTACCTAAAAAAGCCCCCCTTTTATTAATTCCTGTTTATATTAAATTTATAAACAAAATAATGTACATTAAATGTAAATAAATGAGTAAATATACATCATAATTAACAGAAATTAGATTATGCATCTTCAGTCTGGGACCCATTTACCCAGAAGAGCATTGACAGGTTGGAGGCGGTCCAGCGACGAGCAGCACGTTTTGTCCTAAACCGCTACAGGAATACCTCTAGTGTTGGCAACATGCTAGAAACACTAGGCTGGTCACCATTGGAGAAACGACGACGACAATCCAGGCTCTCCATGATGTACAAGATAAATAATGGGCTGGTCCACTGTTCCAGTATTAAACAGAAACTCGTCCCTCTCCCCCATAGACAGCGACGAGGCCATGACAGGCAATTCAGGCTCATACCAGCAAGAAGCCAGTATAGGAGCTGCTCATTCCTGCCCAAGACAATCAGGGACTGGAACCATCTTTCAAAAGGAACAGTTGAGGCGACAACACTAGACACATTTGTGTCTATTGCCTCAAGCCTTCAAACCCCTAGTGCATAATTTCCTCATCACCACCAGTAACAGAAACATTGCAAATCCCATCTACATGCATAGGAGCCAAAATGATCAATAAATTGATCGTGGGCCCTTAAGATATAGAAGAAGAAGAAGAGAAAGCCCTGCCTACCCAGCCTCTTCTCATGAACATTCTTGTCAAAGATGATATCATCTTGACACTGAAAATAAAACTTTTACAGCAATAATTACACTTAAGTCCAAGTCTCTTCCTGTTTGACGCATATGTTATCCTCGAACCCATAACACTACTGTGAGATGGACGGACGTTAAGCCACCTCTTTTATAAAAGTTACTTCCCTTTCAAACACTCTCTTTTCTTTCAACAACGCCCATTAGTTACTAAATAAATGAACACAGTGTATTGTTACGTTAAATGGTCATACTAACAACTAATTTGTAAATATATGTTTATGGTTGCCCGTGAAGACCACAAACACGTTCCCAAGATGAAATAACTCAACCCCAAATAAAAAGAAATTTCTGAAGCTAAAATATTTGCTCATTCTCGCACATTGTGTACCGAATATGTGATACAACAATTGCTGCCTCTAATCTTTTGTTTTTTAACTTGGGCTTGTCATTCGTTGTTCCATTAGACACAATGTTTGCTACGCTCAATATCCGAGATTTGTTCAGTTTTTGAAACCTAAACTCAGTACACTTCCCTTTGTACTTTTTCTGAAATTGTAGTGACGCGTGTCGTCTCAAAGCGACCGACAATCAGTCAATATATGACTTACACTTACTGCGCGTCAGTGATTGGCTTCTTTTAAATTAACATTTGACATTATTATTGTACAACTATTATTTGGCTGGAATAAGAATTCACAACATTTTGTCACGACAGATGTTCCATAACAAATGCGTTCAGAAAATGTATTAATTTCATCAAGTATTTCTTTCGGTCAATGTTGACGAGTCTTATCGACTTTTCTGGTATCCTTCTATATCAAGAAATGCCGATTTGTTTTAAAAATAAATTGCATGGTTGCTGCATTTCTTGAACAAGCAGTATTTTTTTTTTAATAATTGATTTTTAAGTACTGACTTGCTGTACAAATTAAGAAGGAACTTGGTGATTTATCTTCTACACACGACTGCACTACTTATTACGGTACACTTCAGATGGAATTTATCAGGAAAGTCATTTCCATTTATTAATTTTTTTAGAAAAATGGGGGGGGGGGGGGAAATCAAAATTTTGCCGGTTTGTTGAGTATTTTATTACTGGAGACACCACAGTACATAGCAATTACAATAAAACCTGCAAATTCGGGGGTTGGGTGGGAAATGCCCTCTGCCCAAAACCGAATGACATCCCTTGAAGTTATGCACCATATTTTTCGTTTCATTTTCGGGAATTTCCACATACCTATATTCTCCTAAGTAACTAAAAGAATATCCATACATTTTTATACAGAAAAAAAAAATTAATTAACAATTAGCACATTTAAATTTAATGAATTTCAGACCAACAAGGATACAAGCATTTAAAATATCAAATATGAGTTCCGTGTTTAATGCCATCATTGGTGAACTGGTAAAACACCAACCATCTACAATTATCACACGGATCTATTAACCAGAAGATGTTGAATTTTCCTATCTTCTTTTGTTTTATTTAAGAATAGGTAATTCATTCTTAAAACTGATTCTTTAAATGCACTTCACACCTCAGGTGCACGCACTCAACGACCAAACAAAATGATGATGTCTCCTGCATAATACAAATGACAGCGACACTTTTGGTAATCGCTCACTCTCAAGCTGATCCCGAACGTTGTGTGTGTGGTTTTTAAAATGATATGTGACGTATCAGCAATGTGGCCATGAAAGAATTTCTCTCTATTCACATGTCCATCTTGTGTGTCGATCATGGATGGAGAGTTATTTTTTTTTTTTTTATACAGTGACATTTTAAGATTTCTTGTGCAGTGCTCATCTGATGAACGGCTGGAAAACTGGAGGTACGCTGTCACACAAATTATCACGGTTGTCTGTGTTTGCTCCTCGGTTAAGTAAACTGGTGAGTGGGTGAGCTCAGATCTACAATTATTAGTTGTATATCTAATGTAAAGAATTACGTCACTTAAAAGGTTTTTTTTCTGAGGATTCGATGTTTAACAAATTAAATACGTCTTAACTTACTTAATTTAACGAGTACAATGTTAACACTAAAAAGTAGCAAATATCAAAGATATAATTTTTTAAAAAAAAAGTCTTCCTACGAAAGACGATTTAATACGCATTAAAATGTAGAAAATAATTTAACATTTCATAAGAGGCATGACGAAACTGATTAATTAGACACAAATAATTTGTGTAAATAAAACAATTTTACAAAATAAAAATGTTAACCTTTCAGCACTTGCCTTCATCAGTACATCAACAAAACATTTAAATAAGGATACATTAAATTAACATAATAAATATATTCAAGTAGCCGACCTAAAAAATAGAAAAGAATAAGAGTGTGCGCAATCCCAGGCAAAACCAAAGTTCAGAAGAGCGGAAAGGAAGTGAGATTTAGAAACCAAACGGGAAAAAGATATGGCAGCTACTTAAAATTGTGGATTAAGTTAATTACAAACCTGACTTTTCGACCACTGACAATAATAAGACGAAGTACGCCAACGTGACGGATGTTGATTCGTCTTTGGGCGAAGCCCCGATTTGGGTTGTAAATGAACCGATGTGCGTCACACAACACGACATCACACGTTGGCATAGTGTGGGCATGCAACACAAAGTGTAATGTATTACACATGAAAGAGCCGGGTCAAAAATGTTATGATAAATGTTGAGGATTTTATTTGCCATTTTCCCACGTTTGCACAGAATTTACTTTAAGAAATTTCGTCTTTTTTTAAATCCGTTAGATTAACTTCGCTTTTGTTCGTGGCTGACGGTGTGGCTAACGGGCATATTTTCAGTCAACTTATTAAGCTGAAACTTAGTACATAGAATCCTTGCCAATGACAAGACATTCTTTCAGAGTTTCAGCCTAACCCTCCGACCTTAACCCCCAAAAATCAGTGTTTCCTGTTTTCCAATGGAAAGACAAAGGAAATGTGATAACACTGATTTCACGACATAACATCCCCGATTATTACGCTAAATTATATTTTTAATATAAAAAAAATATAGCAACTTCGCCTGGTGCCTAATCTTTTCTGCTGTTTTTCTTTAAATCAATCTGCGGTGTTATAGCGGGCGGGTCATTAGAATAGTAATAGTTCTCACAGGCATGAAAATAATGTGTGGTTTCGAGCCCGGGATGACCAGGGGGGAGGGGGGAAATGAGATGAGACTAATTTGGATTCTTATCAAGTGCGTTACTGGTATGCATGTTTTTTTTTGTTGTTTTTTTAAGCATCACCCCCCCCCCATTGCTTGACGGCACATTTTATAATGGAGTTATACGGAAAACTTTGTTTTTGGGGCTGTTTAATTCTTAGATGAAAACAATCTGAGACTATTGGCGCACTGGTCAGTCTCAGTAGATCTCCCATCGGGAACTCTCCTCTCCACAAAACAGCTATCAGTCATGTTGCATATGAGTAATCTTTCTAGTAGTTGCAAAGCCTTCGGCACTGATACAAAGTTCTCTGGTGTGATACAAAGTTGTCAGCACTGATACGAATTCCTCTGCGTTGGTGAGTATAGATCTAAGCACTGCTGCGCAGCATTCATCCGCCACAAATGTTATGTTAACAGTAGTGTGTCAGTCGATCATGACTGTTCTCCGAGCTCATGTCTATTAAATGAAGTTAACTTTAGATCGTCTAAGCACGCGGATGTCCCTCTGGATGTCAGGAAAAGCGATAAGTTGACAAAATAAAACCCGAGGATGTGGTTAGAGAGCGCGCTCACTTGTTTCTACTGTGTGGATGGCAGGGCGTAATATTAATGAGAAAAAAAAATCAAAATTCAATTTTATATGAACTTAGGTAAAATTAAGTCGATAAAAGAAGAGTTATGTTTTTTTATTAAACATTGACAACCCTGTAGCCTCCAACCCAGCCTTGTAGAGAACACACGCCTTATTGCCAGTATAAACTCTAAAACTCACGCACAGATCATTTTGGTTACACCTAAAAGCACAATCGGGGTTTGTGATGACGCCGTAGAGAATAGCCAATGCCATAGGGGCCATGGTGTTAGATGAACCACTTATGTACTTTACACCGTAGACATGAGCTATGAGAGTTGGTTCAGCTGTGTTCTGTGAACCGGTGGTCGTGGCTGGTGTCTGTGAAACACACGTGCTGCCTGAAACAATATGAAACGATCAAACGATAATCGCAATAATAGGCCGGCATACAGGCATCACCCAACATACTAGTAGGCCGTTTTATAATACCATACACTGGATAAACAATGACTATAAACGAATAGTAATAATACATTCAACAATCATTTATCCCCAGCCTTAGTCTAAAGTATCATAATTCACAGACATAAATGAGTTAGATGAAGAAACGTAATTGTTTTCATTGGTACTACTACAGTATAAGCACACTGCTACCGTACTTCAAAAGTAGTATAATTATTTTGGCGCTTGTAGTTGAAGCATACTTTTATTTGTATTTGGTCAGATACCAGTGGCTTCAGTACAACAAAATGTCAAGCTCTTATATATTAATAACTTTTATGTTACTATCGAAATCTCATTTTTTTCCCCCATTGAGACCAACTTTAATAATCATGAATTCACTCAAGTTGAAATAACTTTATTCTACATAAATTATATGGGATATTAATTGATACAAAGTTATTGCGATTTTAGTGATGACATCCTGAGTTAATCAACAACTTGTGGCGATGTCATTTCACTAACTGATTGAGTCAATCAATAACTAGTGATTTCATTTCAATAACTACTGGAGTCAATCACTAGTTACTTATGTCATTTCACTAAATACTGGAGTCAATCACTAGTTAGTTATGTCATTTCACTAAATACTGGAGTCCATCACTAGTTACTTATGTCATTTCACTAAATACTTAAAAAGTCTATTTAGTACCTAATATGTGGTAATATATGACACTTACCGTTGCAAAAGCCACTTGTTGACTGCGATACTGTCTGTGCACTACTGACTGGGAGCGACACCACTAACACCACCGCCATTATCGAGATACACCACCTATTTTCAAACATATTTTTTCTATAACATATATGTCACGTTTTTTTTATAAAATACACAACTGTTTCTTTATCAAACCAAAATGTCTGGCAGTTAGATTATTTTGGATTTTTTTTTTGTTTTTTTTTATTTTCTTCTGATTAGACTCTATTATTTAAAAGGAATCAATAAATGATTTGAAATGCTGACCATGGTGTCATTGTGTTGACTGTTGTCTGCAAAATTAAATAGAAATGAATGTTAACATTGGTCAAGTAATATTTATAATCGAAGCTTTAAAATTTTTCATTAAAAAAGCTGCACAAATTTGTTCAGTTGAAATTATATTTTTAAGCAAAATATATGACATCTTTAGGGAAAAAATAGTTCCTTCACATTTTTTAAATAAATTAGTAAATGTATATCATAATCAAGGGAAAGCCCATCCTACTCGGCCTGCTGTCAAGAAAATTCTTGTGACAGATGATTTACCTTGGACAATGAAATACAACTGCTACATCAATAATTGCACGCAAGACCAAGTCACTTCCTGTTTGAGGGATAGTTTTTCCTCGAAACCATTACACTAATGGGAGACAGACAAACATTTAATCACCACTTTAGTTTAAAGTTACCCCCCCCCCCCCCCCATCCAACACCTTTCTTTCCACCATGCCATTAGTTATTAAATAAATGAATACACATTACTGTTATTTTAAATAGTGATATTTACACTTAATTCGTAACTATGTCTGTGTGCTTGCCTACGAAGTCCAAAACACGACACCAGATTAAATAACTCAGCCCCAATAAAAAGAGATTTCTGAAGCTAAAATATTTTCTAATGTGCACACCTTTTGAACAAAATATGTCGTACAACACTTTTTGCAACTAAACTTAACAAAACAAACAAAAAAAAAAAAAAATTGCCTTATCATTCATTGCCCCATCAGATACAATATTTGCTCCATTTAATATCTGAGATTTGTTCAGTTTAGAAACCAGGATTGAATTAACTTTCGGTGTTTATTTGCTCTTCTATGAGAAGTTGGTAGTCTCAAGGCGGTCAACCGCTTGTGAGTATAAATATAACGTAACTTACACTTATTGCGAGTCAGTCTCTCGGTCCCAATTGAAGGCTTCACTACAATGAACATTTGGCATTACTGTCTTACAATCATTTGTACTCAACTATTCGGTGTGCTTCATCACAACTACTTTTAGGAAATGTCTTACTTTCATCAAGGATTTCTTTCAGAAAATGTCGACTTGTCGAAACGACTTTTCTTTCACACTCCTCTATAGGAAGAATGCTTATTTAAAAAAAACAAAATTTAATTGCTTGATGGTTGCAATGCATTATTTCTTTAATAAAAATCGTGTTTTTGAAAAAAAGAATTATTGTTAAGAAATGACTTACTGTACTAATTAAGATGGAACCTTGTGATTTAAGCTTCTACACACGATTGCACTTTTTAGTACGGTACTGTTGCAACGGAAGTTATCAGGAACGTTATTTCCGTTTTCTTTTTAAATTTTAGTGGGGTGCGGGGTCAAAATTTGTCCAGCTTGTTGAGGTCTTTATCACTGGAGGCGCCACCATACATAGGAATTTAAATAAAAACTACACATTGAGGGGCAGGGGGGAAATGTCCCCTCTGTCAGACCCAAATGACGTCCCTTGAAGTTATGCACCATATTTTTCGTTTCATTTTCGGGATTTTCCTCACACATAGTTTCCTAAGTAACTAAATGACTATCAAATTTTAATACATTAAAATCACTTAATTAAAGCATAGCATTTCTGGCGAATTTCAGAACAACATAGATACAAATATTTATATAAATTCCGTGTTTACACGCATTAATGGTGAACTGGCAGAACACCAACCTTCCACGCATTCAACAAGGTTTCAACACCTAGTAGATGCTGCATCTTCCCATCTTCTGTTGTTTTATTTAGGTATGAGTAATTTATTCTTAAACCGCTTCTTTATAACGCACTTCACATCTCAAGTGGACTCATTCAAAAACAAAGTAATGCAACTATAATGCAAGATTGTTCACGCTTTTTCCACAAAGTTTCTATCCATTTAGCCGGAGGCATCATAGTAAAGATAAGCGAAACACTGACCAGAATCCCATACACAGACAACAATAAGAAACTTTCTCGACTATTGTGTCAACATCAGATCGTTTGAAGCTGAAATCCCAGACTTTCAGTCTGATGGGATCAATGCAAACACTGAGAGAAATGAATAGAATCGAAGTGCAGTAAGGAGTCATCCATTGTAACAGCGAGCATTCCATGGTAACGAGGACCCATCGATTGTAACTGTGAGTCATTCATTGTAACAGTGAGCCATCCATTGTAACAGCGAGCCATCAATTGTAACAAGGAGCCATACATTGCAACAGCGAGCCATCCATTGTAACAGTGAGCCATCCATTGTAACAGGGAGCCAAACATTGTAACAGCGAGCCATACATTGTAACAGCGAGCCATCCATTGTAACAAGGAGCCATCCATTGTAACAGCGAGCAATCCATTGTAACAAGGAGCCATCCATTGTAACAGCGAGCCATACATTGTAACAGGAAGCCATACATTGCTACAGCGAGCAGTAAATTGTAACAGGGAGCCATCCATTGCAACAGCGAGCCATCCATTGTAACAACGAGCCATTCATTGTAACAGTGAGCTATCCATTGTAAAAGGGAGCCATACATTGCAACAGCGAGCCATCCATTGTAACAGGGAGCCTTACATTGCAACAGCGAGCCATCCATTGTAAAAGGGAGCCATACATTGCAACAGCGAGCCATACATTGTAACAGAGAGCCATCCATTGTAACAGTGAGCCATCCATTGTAACAAGGAGCCATCCATTGTAAAAGCGAGCCATTAATTGTAACATGGAGCAATACATTGTAAAAGGGAGCCATACATTGTAACAGGGAGCCATAAATTGTAACAGCGAGCCATCCATTGTAACAGAGAGCCATACATTGCAACAGTGAGCCATCCATTTTAACATAGAGCCATCCATCGTAGCAGCGAGCCATCAATTGTAACAAGGAGCCATCCATTGTAAAAGCGAGCCATTCATTGTAACAGGGAGCCATACATTGCAACAGCGAGCCATCCATTGTAACAGGGAGCCATACATTGCAACAGCGAGCCATTCATTGTAACAAGGAGCCATCCATTGTAACACCGAGCCATCCATTGTAACAGCGAGCCATCCATTGTAACAGCGAGCCATCCATTGCAACAGCGAGCCATCCATTGTAACAGCGAGCAATCCATTGGAACAGTGAGCCATCTATTGTAACAGTGAGCCATCCATTGTAAAAGCGAGCCATTCATTGTAACAGGGAGCCATAAATTGTAACAGCGAGCCATCCATCGTAACAGGGAGCCATACATTGCAACAGAGAGCCATCCATTGTAACAGGGAGCCATTCATTGCAATTGCGAGCCATCCATTGTAACAGAGAGCCATACATTGCAACAGCGAGGCATACATTGTCACTTCCAGACAGTAGACAAGACGCCGATATTGTGTCTTTAGCGTCATCGATTACTTTATCCTCGGTGGCTCCTCCTGGTGACCAAACAGTGTGGTGCAATATTTTAACAAGGGTTCTCATCTCTTAAAATAGCAAAGGCAACCGGTATGATATAAGAAAACCTTAAAGCAGCAAATCAATTATATACGTTAAGAAGAAAACAAGTTTTAAAAAAAAGAAAAAGTTTACGAGCCTGGCTTTGAGACACGGGAGATGAGGCTGGGACGGTTGCAGGATGGCCGGGAGTTTGAGAACACTCCCAACTTCTCTAGAAGATCAAAGAGATTATTACAAGGCAAACTTGGAGCTTCGTTGGCCATAAACTTTAGGTCACGTGGGTTTTAGATAAAATTAGAAATCAATTTTTTTTTTGTTTTAAATCACCTGAAGAGCTATTTCTGATTACTTTCAGAAAATTCGAATTATCGACGTGAAACCGTTCTATTGGCCCGCGTCACACCGGAAGTGTTATGTCCTCAAGTGTGAAGTCCATGTGCCCATACCCCAATAGTGGACGTTGATCTACAAATAATCTGAGGGCTCAATTCTTAAAATACTTACTTAAAATATTATAAATAATTCCAACCATAATTTTTATCATTTCTCTTTTCTTTACTATTTTATTTTAAAAGTGAGCACGAAGAAATAAATTAAACTTTTTAAATATGCAGCCATTTTAGATCTTACTTTCTGTTTTATTTTATTGAGTTGTTTTATTTTTTGAATTATATATATATATATATAATTTATTTTTCGGGAGGGTGGGATATGGCTACTCTGAAAAATCCCGACTTAGTAATTGCTACTTTGGTAGCTTAATAATCACAATAAGTATATAAAATAACATAAGATTAATTATAGAATACTACGAAAAAAGCAATGTTTAAAAATATATATAAACAGTGGTACCTTGAGATACGAATTTAATTCGTTCCGTAACTTTGCTCGTATGTCAATTTTTTCGCATCTCAAAGCAATTTTCCCCATTGAAATTAGTAGAAATGCCATTTTTTTAAATCCATTCCAGCTCCCAAAATGCCACCTCAGTTGTTTTTGTGACGTATTTTTGAATGAGAAAAATGTTTTTATAGATGACAAATATTGTATTAAAACAGAAAAAATGAGAATGTAAAGAAAGAAACTAGTTTTATAAAGTGTACTCACCTTGCATATCAGCCGACTTGAGTTTACGGAAAATGCTGGCAGAGGTGTAAGGTGGAGGAGGTAGGCGAAGGAGCTTCACTTCGTTCACTTGCTGGCTACACTGTTAATGCTAAACTCTTTCGGTCACTTCAATTCACTTACTCGTTACACTCTTAATGCAACACTTTATCCATAGACTTAATGGAACTTAACTAAATTTCACGGAAATTATTTGAACTTAAATGCCACTGTACAATTTTTTTTTTACTTTCACTTAATTTTCTTCACTGCAGCCGGCCGACCCGCTTACCCGGTTCTTCGTATCTCAAATATTTTTCGT